AACCTTAGTTCTATTGGCACAGGCAGAGTCCAGTAGAGGGCTCTGCCTGTGCCAATAGAACTGGGCTAAGTGCCTTAAACATCCCTAATTAACCTATGGCTAAGCCACGCCCCCTCCACTCACTCGGACAAACTATCAACATTCAGTGAGCGGCGCTATGGCAGGTGTCACAGTACACGGCATTTCACAGGAGGCAACTGATGATTTTTGGAGACATAACGATCAGATGTCATTGAGAAGTAACCAAAAGGGCCTAAACTACGCATTGGAGGGATATATTCATCATTTTATTGTTGAGAAGGTCGATGAAAAGCTTAAATTACAAGCCAAAATTTACAGGTCACAGTGTACGCTTGTGAACCGCATCTGGTTGCCGTCACCATCAAAGACAACAAGTTAAAGTGCCACTGAAGTTAAGGTTTTTGGCTCAGAATATGAGAAAAGGATAACGGCCTTTTTACCATCTTTACCAAGAGTGTCTCTCCGTTAGTTTGGTGCTACAGTATTTACACTGAATCATTCAGCATAACGTTTGCCAACCTTTGTTATCTCTGCCATTACAGATAAGTTAATGAAGCTAAGCTCCAGAAGTTAACGTTAGCTTAACTAGAGCCCTTTGGACAACAGCTAACAATGATGTACGATCACCAAAGTACAAAACTAGAACAAAATAGGCTAATGAACTCCCAGCAAACAAGGTGACATGATGAACAACGCAGCTAGGAGCTAACGTTAGGCTAACTTTAGCTAACGTTAGCTAGAGATGTTAAAGATAACTTTATATTTCTTTCCAGCAAAGTGACAATATGTTGCCTCAAACACAATGTTGACTTACCTTAGAACAGATGTAGACATCATTGTTAATCTTATTCACGTTGAGTTGATGTTGTGGTCTAACGTTACCACACAACTTTATCCAAAGGAGACACTTTTCTCGCTTGAGATGTGGTTTAAAGTGTAAAAATACACCTGGTCGCCCAGCCTCTCAGGATACCTTGTGTCAGAGTTGCATGTACCCCATGCACACCGTTTGACCATTTTTAAACTTCAAATCTCAGAAAAAGCTCATAAAACCCAACAAACTGACTTTCTGTAATGCATTTCAATGGACGTCCAGGCAGAGGATGTCCCAGTATATGGGAATGGCTATACGCACTGTGATTGGCTCATCGCGTTTGAGGGCGGGGCTTAGCCATAGGTCAATTCAAAACCTTGAGCTGACCCTTTAATATGTCACATGGTGCTGCCCGTCTTTAAAACGGTTTAGTACAAAGCTGACCATCCCAGAGTGTGGCTCTATCTCTAAACCTTTGGATTCAGTGATCAGACATTTTCCATCCCCTATAAATCCCCATCCATCACAGACATCACGACCAGCGTGGAGCAACAAGTGTCCCATCATCCCTGCCTGACACCAGGTGTGCTCACTGGAGAATTCCTCCCCTTTGGCGAGTTATGGGGGACAGGCAGAGGAGGACGACAGACAAGAGGAACCACTGACGTTAAGAACAGTGTCGATCTGTACACAGTACGGTGCTGTGTATATCTTCAAGTCTGAACATGTCAGGTTCATGTTAAGCTGTAGATTCAGCCTGGGAGATATGCAGACTTTGGTGACGAGTTGCGGCTTGTTGCCATATTTGTCACATCCCCAAAGACTCTGAGGAATTCGACGGTGTCTCCAACTTCCACAGGATGTGTCAGAGCAGCTGGGACATGAGACACACAGAGGAAGGGAGGCCTCTGTGTGTCTCTATAATTTGAGGATTCCAGTGAAGATGTCATTCTTGTTCTGAGACGACAATAGGTGGCATTATATTAAAGATCATTTCAATAAATATCAATTATAGCATGCAACCAAACGAGAGCTTTTTATTTATTTATTTTTGTAGCCATTTCAGGATCTATAACACCAGATAGGAAACATATCCAGCTAATGAGAAGTCTTTAAGGGACTGTTCTTTACTCGTCAGGGGAGTTAGTGGCTCAGTGTGATTTTTTTATTTTCCCTGAAGCTACAAATATTTTGTGATAGGCTGAAAATCATGACCCTCCCTCCACCATAAATGAGTTATTAGAAGTTTAAAACTTTGATGTTTTAAAGTTTAAAGTTAAAAGTTGAAGACAAAATCCTGAATTTGAAAAAGCTTAATTTTTTTACTCTTGTCGTGCAAACAGTTTATTTTTGTAGAAATTTTAAGTGAGACGTAGAATAAAGTCAATTTGATGAAATATCATTATTTTAAGCTCAAGCTTGGTTACTTTGTTTTTTTTTTCTACCTGAAGTGTTTGTCACACATGATGTGTCCAGGGATCATTTTGTGATAAATGGTGTCATTTTGACGATTAAAAAAACCCTGTTTATAAATAAAAAATAAATACAAACTACAGCCATTAAAACGTGTATGCCACTCCACTAAGCCAAAATAAAAAAAACAAAAGCCCCTCTCCAGAGCTTGAAAAATTATTTGACAAATTATTTGACACCAAGCATTCGGCATTCACGCTCAGGTCACATGACTCTGCAGTGGTCAAAAATAGTGGCAGCTCTCTGAGGCCTCTCTCAACCCTTAGGGACTGTTCATTATTTATTCTTGGCGGTGTGTGCAAAAAGGGGGAGGCAGGTCAAATAATTTTTTAAGCACTAAGGAGGGACTAATGGTTTTTATTTTGGCTTAAGGAAGGGGCACGCAGATATAAATGCCAATTTCTAAAGCCACCAAACCTGCGAGCACGTGTGGAAGCCATGTTGTCCTTTTAAAACAATCACCAAAATGACCCCATGTATCTCAGACAGAAACTGTACAAACAGAAATTATCATTGGATTTTTACATTTCTGGCGGTCCTTGAATGCATCGTGTGCAATTAATGCCTCTGTCATAGGGCAAAACAAATTCTAAGCTCACAAGTGATATTTCATCAAAGTCACTTTATTCTATATCCCATACTTTCAAATGTTTAAGGGGAAGTTTCAAAGAGGGAGGGTCACACACTCTCCTCAAATCACTCAGGGAGGCTCAAGGACAAATATAAAAAAATATATTTAAAAAAGTAAGTACAGAACAGTCCCTTGAAGGCGTGAAACTGTTTCGTCCCCCCTGCACAGGGATTCATCTCTTACCACAGTGGTGTGAGTGACGTACACCAACAAAGGGTCATCAGGGTACCAAAAACAAGAAAAGAGAGAAAGGAAGAAAGCAAAGTGACTTTGTAAAACAATTTCAAAAGGAGCGTGAGAGACATATGAATCAAGAGAGGAGGGGGGCCCACAGAGACTGCTGATGCATGGGGCCCAGAGTTTGGTGCTACGCCCCTGTGTGTGTGGAAGTACATGGCAGCCTGCTGGAGGGCTCAGTGCTCCTCCTGTTCCTCCTCACACAAAGGAGCAGATAGCGGTCCTGCTGCTGGGTTGATGCCCTTCTACGGCCCTGTGCAGCTCTCCTGGTGTAACAGCCAGTCTCCTGGTATCTGGTATCAACCTGAATGGGCTGCAGGTACAGCCTCATGCTACCAGAAGTGACAAGGACACTAGCAGAAGACAAAACTAGAGAAGAATCAGTAAGGAAGGATAAGGAGAGAGCAACTGTCTGTGGACACCACATGTAAAACCATTTCCTGTTTGTCTCTTTGATTTGACCCAAAGCAGCTGAAACTGATTCACAATCACTTCCTTCTTTACTGAATGGAGCCGTATTCACAAACATCCTGAGAATCCTCTCACAGAGCTCCTGACTCAGCCTAAAGGTGCGGACACACCAAACCGACATCAAAGAACTAGCAGCAACGAAAGCCAACTGTTGTGTCGTCTACGTCGCCTCACGTCACCCTGTGTCAGTTGCATTTGAACACACCACACGGACTACATCCGACGGCCAAGTAGCACGTACGTTCTGCGCCTGTGTGAGAGAGAGCGGAGTGAGAAAGTGGTACATCCTGTCAGCCGAGGGGTTTCCTATCTGTGCAGCCGAGCACCGCAGCACCTCCACGGACTATTACATCCAGACGGTCCCGGTGTTTCCTCCGCAGGCTCCACTTCACTCAGCTGCCCGATAAACCCGCTGCTCCTTCCCACTTTAACCTGAATAACAAACCAGGGCTCGGTGCTCCGGTTGGATCCAAACGGAGAGCCGGAGCTAGCTCAGAGACTAGCGGAGGCTAACAGCGGGTCTGTGGGGCAGCTGAGTGAAGTGGAGCCTGAGGAGGAAGCACCGGTTAGCCCCGGTTTCACTACAGGCAGATTCACTCGCTACAGGGGCGAGGAAATAAAACCTGAACAGCCAATCAGAGTGATCTCTCTCACCAACAAGCTCTGCCGCCGATTCAACATGCTCAATCAGCTGAAAAGCCACCGACGCCGAAATGCTGACGGTGCGGGACACACCGCAGAAACTAGGCCGACAGACGCTCACCGACGGCCCACCGACAGTTGCTAGCTAACAGTAACGCCAACGGGTCGGGCAAGAACAGCTGATGATGCAACCACGAAAACGTTTGAAGACCGTTCAGTTTGGCTGATGTGGTCTTCTTGGGACATGGTCAACGTCGTCCATCAAAGGCTGCGTCCATCAAAGGCTGCAGCCCCTGAACTGAGACGCAGCTTTTGTCTTTCTGCCATTTTCTCCTCTTTTCTAAGAATGTCGGTAGAGTTGCATCACTGGGAGCGACTCTCTGTGCCAGGAGGCTTTGTGAAGTTTACCTGACGTGGAGCTCCACCGTGGGGCCCCTTCACATACCTTCATTTAAGTTCATATTCACACAAGCTACAGTTCAGAGATCATAGAAATGTGGGTTACAGAAACATAAGCTTTCACCTGTCACCATGATGAAGATTAGAACACTTCAGTGAAGCAGAGGAGTCATTTCTCCTCCCCTCCCCTCCCCATGTGACCCGGCCGGCCCACCCAGCCCTCCCCCTGTCCCGATCCGCCCTCCCTGCCCCTGCTCGTGCTCCCTGCTCCTGATCCTGCTCCTGCTCGGCTCCGGCGTGCAGCGATGCTGTAGATGCGGCAGACCGGAGCAGACAGCGGTTGATCCTAAATGCAGCAGCCGGGGAGGAGGATCACATCATCCTGACACACAGCGCGGAGGACAAACACACTTGGTCAGACAGCAGCAGTCAGAGTAAGCTCCTCACTCCTCCTCTGCTCCTCTGCTCCTCTCTTTATCTGACAGCTGTTACTTTCTGATCATGACTCATCTGTGGCTGCTGTGGCCCACTCACACTCAGGCTGCTCTGTGGCTGAACGCAGTCCTTTAACCCTTTGAGACCTGCAGCGACATCACTTTACCTGAGCTGCTTCAGACGCAGACACATGGGGAGAAGGCAACGAGCAACTTGGTGAGAAATGTCACACCTACTGAAAACAATTAATAGATTTAGATTTTTTATTAATATTATTATTATCAAAAAAGTTTGGGACAAACTACATTTACAATTATCATTATTATTGCATTTTAAAGTGATGTCACACATTTACTGTCATTTTTAAGCAGGTCATTTGTTTGTTTTTAACTTTATTTTCACTAATTTGTTGCAGTTTTTTGGGTCATTTCTTCTGTCGCTGCTCGCTGCCTTGTGCCGATGTTTTAAAAGAAATCATTTGCTGTCAGGTTTCAGATTAAAGGGGGACAAGCAGCTCCCTGCCACACACCCTGCATTAAACTGCAGCGTGTTAAAGTCAAGTAAAGAGCACCAACATGGGAACAAGTCCATTAGAAGACACCTGAAATGTGTTTTAACATCAGGGCCTACAATGAACGTTAATCTAGTCCTGTTGGTAAATTAAAAATATGATTTACACTTCAGTTAGTTTAAGTTGTGCATCAGTCTATAGGCTGATATCAGGCTGTGTTTACACGTTAAAATAAACTGTCCAGTAAATTTACTTATTTGAAATAATTTGGCCGACAGAAATGATCGACTGACCCACTGTCCACTAAATTACTTTTGACATCTGTATCTACAGCTGATAATATCTGACTCATGGACTCAGTATATCCCCACCTTCCTTTTTACACTAAATCCATTGTTGAGTTAACATTTAATGGCCCTTTAAAGGGGAACACCACCACACCTCAGAGCTCCAATATGCAGTTTCCATGGCCGAGGAGAGTTTGATCAGTATGTGCGAACATGGGCTGCTCTGTGTCTGCCAGCAACCACAGAGGCTCAAACCTGTGATGGAGCTGCTCCACAGATAGAGACTTTATATCATCGTGTTCTCAGCTGGGGAACAGAACGTGTCCCCACGTACTCAGGACGTGCTCACATGGGCCTTTTCCACTGTCACTTTTGGCCGTGCCGAGTCAAGCCATGCCGCGTCCCCCTTAAACAAGCATGTGTGTTGTGAGACAGAGACAGGTGTCTTTAAAAGTCTCTGTGTTCAGCTCTCAGTGCGTCTGTAGCTTCTGACTGAATCTCTGTGGTTTGGAGTTTAGTTTCTCTCCTGCGTCCTGTTTTTTCTTTACATATCTGCTTTATTTCACTGTTTCATGTTCACTATCAGCCATGTTAGAAGTTGTGTGAAGCTGCTGCTCAAAAACTCAACATTTTCTCATTTTGCTGCTTCACAATAAAAGTTTATACATAACAAAATAACAGGGGACTTTTATTGTGAAGAATCTTTTTAGAAATGAAATATGTTATTTCTGAATTAGCAGAACTGTGTCAGCAGCTTTTCTTTAATAAAGACAAGTCTAATAATACGGCAGGGAGGAAGAGTGAAAGCAGAAACAGCCACAGTGAGATGATGATGATGATGATAATGACCACAAAGAGCTGCAGACAAACAGCTCACCTCCAACAGGTAAACTTCCTTTACCTGCCCTGCTGCGGAAAAACGCCTGCAGCAACAATAACAGGGACTTTTGCCGCGGATCAGCCCGCTGCTTTTAAACGTCATCAGTTAAAGACACACCTTCAAGCAGGTAGACCTGTTGTCATGGAGACACAAGCCCCTGCTGTGCTGGGCTGACGACCCAAACCAAACCAAACCAAACCAAACCAAACCAAACCAGCCCATGACTGTGGAAAAGTGGTATCAGTGTCATCTAGAACATCTTTCACCATTCACTGACTATAGAGCAGCTCCAGTCTTTTAAAGGGATAGTGCACCCAAAAATGAAAATTCAGCCATTATCTACTCACCCATATGCCGAGGGAGGCTCAGGTGAAGTTTTAGAGTCCTCACATCACTTGCAGAGATCCAAGGGGAGAGGAGGTAGCAACACAACTCCACCTAATGGAGGCTGACGGCGCCCCAGATTCAACATAATTGAAACCACAAAATATCTCCATACTGCTCGTCCGTAGTGATCCAACACAAATGTCTAAAAGGATAAAATGATGAAGGTCAAAGGTCAGCTTGACTGTGACATCATCATGTTTTAACGTCATTTCTCAGGAACAGAAGGGGAGACATTTGGTCAGATACTGAATTGTATTTTGAAACTGTGCTGATTGTATAGATCTTCTGTGTGTGAAGCATCCATGTTTTCACTGACATGGATGGAGACTGTAGCCCTTTTTAGATAGTAATTGTGCAAATCTGCAGGAAAGCCCAATCAGTCTTTTTTCAGCAAAATGCCGCCTACCTACTTTTGTTTATACAGAATGTGCCTTTTTCGGGGCAATGGGGGGCGTGAGCAAGTAACAAAACGTGTAGCTCAGCGTGTGACGTAAACAGTGACGTGGGAGGGAAGCCGCGGCTGGTCAGTCCTTCGGTGATTCTCTCGTAAGTCGGCCCGTTCTTCACCGTCCCCGTCATCTGAAGGTTAATGGCCTCTTCGTTTGCGAGGACAAGGAGGGCGCACAATTCCTTGTCTCCCCAGTTGCTCATCTTTACAGTGTCTGTCAGGTTTGTGTTTCCCTCTTGCTACTAGCTGCTCGCTAATTCCTGCTATCAGCTGTTTCCTGTTTATCCACCGCCAGTGGCTCGCACGTGCGACGTCATCAACAGCTCCTCCCGTTGCGGAAGGCCGCCTCGGTCTGTTTAAACTAAAAGGGTTCCACCAATATGTCTACCCTACGAGGAGGAAAATTAGGCGCCTTGGATCAACTCGCCAATCCGGCTCTGTGTGTCTAAACGCTCGCAGCTTGCCGGCAAAACGGCCCAACATTCGCTGAAAATCTGGCAGTGTAAAAGGGGCTATAGAGACACTGGACTGGTGGGCGGAGTCATACAACCACGGGGCGGTGATTGTAGTTTACACACACACTGTAGTTTAGTCTCTGACCTGTCAGCTGAGACAGTTTCCTAGAGTACATTATTATCAAGTCGCCCCCCCCGTGTCAGTGCTGTCGCAGCTTACAGAGCCTCTGTGGGCTGTAGTTGTTACGAGGAATGTTCATGAGCCTGTCGGGTTTTTTTTTTCAGTGACTTAACTCTCATTCTTCCAAAGTCATGGGAGAGCAGGCTGCTAACCCACTGCTCTGGGTCTTAACATCCTCATGTTCAGCCCTCTCCTGTTGTGTAAGAACAGTCAGCGAGGCTGCTGTTCACTGGTGGAGCAGTCAGATCCTATCTGAAGGTTAACCCTTTAAAATGAAGGACCTCCTGCAGATGGTAGCAGGATCCTGTTTAAATTATTAAATTATGCCAGAGTCTCCTGTGAACTTCCTGTAGGAGATCTGTGTTTGCATGATCCTGTATAAAATAATGTACAGGATTGGAGTGTTACAACATATTCTCTTTATGTTTCTGGATCAAAATGTTTTGTGTGTTTTTATTTTGTAAAATCTGATGAAAAAAAAAAGATTTCTGATTTCTGTATTACTTTTTTTAAATGGCACAATTTCAATACTTTCTCAGATTGTTCTGGTTTATTGACTCACAGAAACTTTTAGCTCAGGTTGCACAGAGTTTAGAGACATGATGTATTTGAAGAAACTCTAAGAAATGACATCACAATAAGCCAAATAGGCACTGGAGGAATGTGTCAGAGGCTGCAGCAGACACTTCCTGCTCTTGTGTGCGAGCCGTTGCTTTAACTCAACGTTAGCATTCAGCTGACACAACAGCACTCATTCATGCAGCGCATACAGTGTTTAGGCAGCAGCCTGTGAGTCATCTCAGCATGTTTACAGGTACTCATAACCTCCAGCTTCAACCAGCACAGAACGTACATTCTCATTTCTGTTCAGGAGTGAGGACGGAGCAGATCGGCCATGTTGTTTGTGACTTTAGGAATTTACTGAAATATATAAAGTAAAAATTAAACCTTAAAGTGAGGATGATGTCAGCTGTGTAATTAGTATGTCAGTGACGTAATACTTTGAGGTGGCAGTAGCTCAGTGTGTGTATACGACAACAGACTAAAGTATATCTTCATCGTCGTTTCCTGGTCAGGTGGTGTGAGCGGGTTTGGGAACCATGTTTTACAAATCTGTGGTAAAATAAATACAAAATACAGCCATCTGATTAAAAAAAACCCCAAACGTAACGTTTAGCCAACACACACACATGGTTATGTTTAGGAAAAAAGAACAGGGTTTGGCTTTACAGTCTTTCGGGTTAAGGTTGGTGTTGGACCGATCTGCCTCCCGCCTGCCCCACTCGGACTTTCACCACTTTTTTTTTTTTTTTTGAAGATACTTTTTGGGCCATTTTAGCCTTTAATAGACAGGACAGGTAAGTGTGAAGGAGGGAGAGAGAGAGAGGGAGTGACATGCAGCAAAGGGCCACAGGCTGGATTCGAACCCGGGCCGCTGCAGCAACAGCCTTGTACATGGGGCGCCTGCTCTACCACTAAGCCACCGACGCCCCAGACTTTCACCACTTTAACTTTCGTCCTTGTCCCGCCGCATTTCCCTCTGACGCCACTGGGCGCCTTTAAACTAAAACAGCAATTGGCTGCGTATCATGCTAACATTAAAGGATGCTTTTTTTTCATTGGTTTCTGACGCCGCAAGTCGCTGCCCAAGTGCCGATTTCCACGTCTTCGGAGTGAGACCGGGCTCACCTTGTAGGAACTTTCCAGCTCCTTATATTAAGTCTTTACTGGCCGTGTTTAAAACTAACACTGTCTTGTGACGTATCGTACCACAGTGACAAGTGCCGTCCAGCCACGCTGTGAACTGATGCCGCCCATCTCCGTATCACACAGGCTCGTGCCAACCCGCA